GAGTTTCCACCACAGCAGCGCTCAGGAGCACTGCCAGGCACTAGGAGCCAGCAGCCACTGTCTGCCAGGAAGGCTATAATTTAACCCTGCCATTTAGAGAAGGGAAAAACATCTTAAATGGTGGAGTAAATAGCCAGCCAGGGTCTCTGGGGTGGAGCTGGGGGTCGTGGGGGAGGGCAGCTCTGCAGCGAGAGAGAGGTGTGGGCCTGGACTAACGCTGACTCTGCAGTATCTGGACACCACTTCCCATCGTTCCTACAGCAAATCAAGACCAGGACTTTCTCCTCTTGGAAAGAGACCTGCTTCACCCTCACGCACCATTCTCCACACTACTTGGCATGAGGACAGACAAGACTATCACAAAGCACAGCACCCCCTCCCATCAGAAGGAGCTTCTTCCCCACTGAGTCTGATCATGCCCCTTCTTGGCAATACCAGGGGCCTGTGTCCCTCCCTATCCTGGGGAGAGGCATATGCTGGCCTCCATCTTTGACATCCATGAATCAGTTTTGCTCAACTGTGGTGCCAGGTGGGTTTCCTGGTCCTCTGACCAGAACCGCTTTGCCCTCCACTAACTCCTTCCCAATCACATCATTGCAGCCATACCCTCAATGACAGGCCCTGCCTGCCCCTGCTGTAGGGAGCAATTCTGCAGTAGCTGCTCTCCGTGCCCTCACCAGCAGTAGGCCAACTAAAACCAGTGTGTCTCTCCAGTGTTGCTAACAAGTCTCTTTTCCCCCCAAGTATGTGATCTTCCCCCTGCTCCAATAGCCGACTTGGCTGAGCCGGTCCCGGGGGGAAAGTGTCATGCATGAGTTTACAGGGCTAGACAGGGACTTGGGTTTCATCTCCTGGTCTGTCCCAGACTGTCCATGGGAGGTTGGGGGCAGGGTCTAGTCTCATTGTCTCTGTGCCTTGGTTTCCCCACTTGTAAAATGGGGATAACAGCCCTGCCCTACCTAGGCTCAAGACTAAATACATGAAGCACTATAGGGTGCTCAAATACTACAGTAGCAGGGGCCAAATATGTACATTAAATGGATCCTAGGCCCTAGATAAAGCCCTGCAGCCCATATTATGCATCCAACTCCCCATCAGCACCTAGAATGAATCACATTTGCCTCTGTGTAATCTAAGCAAAATCATCCCCTGCAGCTACAGGGAACCAGAAGTTCCCAGGTGAAACCCATCTGGGGCTGGGCACCCAGAGAAAGATGGGAGCACTGCAAGCTGACCAGCTGGGAACCGCACACAACCTATTCCATCAGCTGGTTGGCCTTGCTCACCTGTTGCACCTTGCCTTTGGCTGTAAGCTCTGGGGGGAATGGACTATCACCTAGGATAGGTGTGTGCAGAAACTGGTACACCAGGGCACTGGCTGGGGCTGCAATCATGTGCTAACAGACCCAGGGCAAGAATGGCATGTACACACCTAGCAGTGAGGACCAACTCACATGGGCAGACCCTAGAGACCACACCCAAGGGTATCCCTGTGGTGTCAGGAAATGGAGTAACGCCAATGTGGAGCTGGGACCTCTTCACCTCCACTCGTGGGCTTCCCCAGTGCTCTGCAGTGGAGAGATTAGGAAGTGCAGGGTTGGGCCCTGCCTTCCCCGCCCCCACTTCCTGCTGTGGCCCCCGCTGGGAAGTCCCTAGAGAACAGCCTCCCGGGCGGCACTGCTGCATTTCTGCTTCTGAACAGAACCCGGAAGTCAAGGACTCACAGGAGGGGGCTCAGAGAGGGGAAGGGATCAGGGACAGGGGGAGGCAGCAGCAGCCTTTGCCATGAGTTATTGGTCAGCAGGGCTTTCTGGCAGAGATGGAAGTGAGCCTGAATCACGGCCCAGCTGGGGGAACCCGAGGGTGGTATGTCTTAGCCTTCATTTGATCTAGACCTGGGTGGGGAAGAACAGAGACGGTGCAGAAGGGCTGGGCACTGCTCCACACTAAGTACCAGGGACATCCACATCCTGCCCCCAACCTGCCCCAGCCCACTGCTTTGTGTTAAGCCAGACCCTGCCTTCCCTGTGCCTCAGATTTTCTATCAGCACAACAGGGGCAATGACCTGCCTCATAGGAGCTGCCAGCTGTATGCTCCAGCATAAGAGAAGGTGCCAAGCCAGGGCAGGACCTGCTGTAAGAGGCAACGGTGGGTTTCCTTATGACATGGCATGTACCAGCTATCCTGGGCCATGAGCCAGCCAGGAACATGTTCCCTTCCAAAGGGGTGGCACAGTAGAGAAACCCCCCAGCCCTGTCTGCAGGTGAAAGGAAGAGCAATGTTGGCTGCTTCTAGCTGCCTCAAACTTTGATCTAATTAACACTGATCTGTTAACAGCAGTTGCCCTTCCCTGAGGGCTGGCTGTCCTCCCCACCCTTTCCAAGCAGCCTGCTGCAATGTGGGATCTGCCCCAAAGCTTCCTCATCACAACTGCAGTGCTAGGCACTGGGGAGCAGATACTGCAGAGTTCCCAGAATGAACCAGGGTACGGCACGTTTCATGGGACCATGATCAAAACGGTGCCGTCAGGAACAGAGCGCCCAGGCTTAAGTTACATGAAGGTTCCTCAAAGCAGCACACAAGAGGCCTGACAAGCAGTGAAACCAACTCTATGAAAACCTTCCTTGCCCAGCTCAGCAGCAGCCCTGCCACCAGGCCACAGCGTAGGAGGCATATGGGAGCCACAGCCAGAGCTTCCTGCCTTTGGGCTACCTCTGAAAAGCACAAGAGCAACATCAGAGCTGCTCCAATTCACTTCAGTGCTGGAGTAGCCCCCCATGTCTGCGCTGGCTGTGCCAACCCACTGCCAGGAGGACAGGGAGCAGGGTCCCACTGGGCCAAAGCCCAGGCAACAAAGTTCTCGTCTCTTAGCAGGGACGCGCCATAAGCAAACCTCAGCAGAGCCAGCAGACCGCTCCCCATGCCTGCAGCCCAGGCCAAGCGGGTGTGTTGCACCTTGGGAAGAGCCAGCATTTCTGTGTGTTTCCACTTGAGAAGCTATAAAGAAAATGCCGCGTCTAAAAATAAAGCCAGTGATTTATCCTAGGGCTTCATCTCACCCTGTATACTTTGGAAGGGAGAGTCTGTTTCAACAACCACAGGGTCAATTTGCTAAGTGCTGCTCTCAGCCTGCAGCTCCCAGGGCTGGGAAATAATTTAAGAGATCTCCAAGGGTTTCCTTGTCATTCCACCTGGGCCAAGCAGGACTTCACCATAACTCCCCACCCCTACCACAGTGCTTCCTAGTACCGGGGTTCGAAGAGCCAGCAGTGGACACTGGGGCACTGGCTGTATTTCCCAACGGAAAATTTGTGATCATATTCAAGAGAGTCTAATTACAACGGCCTCGTCTCCCAGGGGACCCCTCTTCCTAGAGAACAACACCAGCCCCACAGCTCCCATCCGGAGCCTCGCATCCCGGGCCCGATCTGGGGTTTTGGTTCTGGGCTGCACGCTGCAGGAGCGCAAGCACAACAGTCGGCGGGGAGGAGGGAGAGAGAGGAGTTGCCTTCCTGGGTAATAGCCAAGTGCTTAGAAATAAATCGATTGCAGACTCCAGTAGACGTGTCCTGCAGTGCTGAGCAGAGGGTGAGTAAGCATTTGGAGAACACTCAGACCCAGCGTAGACGGTTCCCCAGCGGGGACAGAGCCACTGCGTCCACAGAGCGGTTTAAACATCCCTTCAGAGAGAAAAGCCCTCACATCCCATAGGTGCGAAGAGTAAATTCTCCAGAGCGCTGGTGCCTCTTAGTGCTATGGGGATACTTGGAGATAGCTTTAGCTGGAGTCATAACTGACCAGTAAGCTCAAAATCCTCACCGCCATCCCAAACGGCAAGCTAAAAGGAGGCGTGTTGGAGCTTTCCTTGAGGGGAGCTGCATCGTAGCACCATGCAGGCTGCTCTCCCCAAAGGGCAGGTAGTGGCCTTTGTGGGAGGGCTGCTGTTTCATATTTCTGTGGCATGCCCCACAGACCTCTGTGGAGACTGCAGCCCTTTTTATTAAGGCAAGTGACATTGGCCCACCTGAGTGGGGGGAGGCTCCTTGAACAGGCTCTACGCACTAGACAGGGCACCGGACCATCTGCACTGAGCACCACCAAAAAAGTAGTTAAAAGGGACACAAGGCAACTTCAGCTGCACCCCACAATTGCACCTCTTGAGTAATAAGCAGAGGTAAAATAAAAGAAGGCCTTCTGGAAGCCCAAGCCCAGCAGAAATATTCCCACAAGTGCAAGAAGACCTCAGAGAAAAGAGCCTGTTTGTTAAGACAAGCCGTCCCCTGCAGTGCCCAGATCCAGACCCAGCAACTCCGAAGGCCCAAGTGAGACAAGAGGCTTCCCAGCAGGAGAGAGGGGAAAAAGGGCAAGCAGCGCGGGAGCAGAAACAAGGCGTTTCACTTTTGCTCATCTCAGGCACACTTTCTTGCAGGCAGGCAAGAGTTTCTGTGCACCCTACTTTTCAAGGGGGTGTGTCTTGTTGGTGAGGCTGGTGCCCTGGGGTGTCGTTAGTCCCAGAGTTACTGCTGCTCGGAGATGGAGCGGAGAACTCCAGCCCGGCTGTGCAAGGCCAGGGGCAAGCCAGACGGCACTGCTGCGGGCCGCACACACAAGCTGTGCTCTGTGAACATCAGGGGTCAACAACTTCATTCTTAAAACCAGTGAAGATTTAAATGCTACTGAGCACATTGGCATTGCCAGTCAAGCCCATTCCTAAGCGTGGGCCCAGCCCAACCCCTGTCCTGTGGACAAGTCCCCCGCATGCTTTCTCGATGCACCACAGCACCTCAGCCTGAGCCAGGTGCACCCCTCCCACCCTCTCTCCTCTAGTGGTTACAGCCTACACTTTTCTGTTAACGCACCTCGGTAACATGGAGGGGCCACGCTAGAGTGGGTTGGGAGAGAATTGGGCTGGGAAAGTGCAGGAGGACACCCACCCATACTTACAAGATACCAGGGGCACAAGGTTTAACGATCCAGACAAAACAGAACAGTCTCTCACCAGCTCATCCAGGTTCTTGAGGTCACACAAAGAGATTCGCTGTGCCCTGCTAGGGTAGATGGGAGACTCAGGGCCCAGGTCTTGGCTATCTTGCTGCATCACCAGCTCCTCATAAACAATCTGGTCCCTCATTTCCTCCTCAATTTCCTCTTCCATCTGGATCAGCATGGGCGCCAGCATCCCAAACTTGGAGCCCCTCCTGGCCACCTCCAGAAGGCACAGGACAAAGTTTTTCTCATTCTTCTTTAGCACCAAGTCATTTGTTTCAAACATCAGGACGTCCTGGATGCCCAGGTCCTGTCTGCACCACTGGATGAAGTTGGAGACATTGTCCCTGGCGATGAAGGAGCCAGGCACCACGTTCTTGGCCTGGAAGACCACTTCGTTCTGAGGCACCCTCATGTGGGCGGCAGCCTCCGAGTGCTGCTGCTGGAACTCCAGGGCGATGCGGTTGACGTTGTTGGCGTGTTGGCAGAGATCATAGCCTGTCTCCAAGGCCTCCATGAAGTTGTCCACCGGGATGTCCAGGTCATAGAGCGTGTTGAGCCACTCAGTCAGATCCTCCTTCATGGCATAAAG